GATAGCTCCCGGAGGCCAATACCGTCGAAATGCATCCACACTACCCCAAATCCGACCCGGAAAGGCCGGTTTCAGCGCTAATCCCCTTGTTGGAGGTGGATTAAAGAAATCGATTTAAAGAGCCCATTAAGTCGAAAAAAAGGGCTTCATCGTGTGGATGGGTCCAGGCTTAAATCGAGTTAACGCTGCTAAATTCGACCTAAAATCGTAGTGTAGACCAGGCCTGAGTCTCTTTTCATAAGACAGGTTTTCCATTCCTCGGATCATCATAGTAGCCCTTCTCTGTACCTGTTCCAGTTTGAATTTATCCTTCTTAAACATGGGCCACCAGAACTGCACACAATATTCCAGATGAGGTCTCACCAGTGTCTTGTAGAATGGTACTAACACCTCCTTATCTTTACTGGAAATACCTCGCCTGATGCATCCCAAGACCACATTAACTTTTTTCACAGCCATATCACATTGGCAGCTCATAGTCATCCTGTGATCAACCAATACTCCGAGGTCATTCTCCTCCTCTGTTACTTCCAAGTGATGCATCCCCAGTTTATAACAAAAAATCTTGTTATTAATCCCTAAATGCATGACCTTGCACTTTTCACTATTAAATTTCATCCTAATACTATTACTCCAGTTTACAAGGTCATCCAGATCTTCCTGTAGGATATCCCGGTTCCTCTCTATATTGGCAATATCTCCCAGCTTTGTGTCATCCACAAACTTTATTAGCACACTCCCACTTTTTGTGCCAAGGTCAGTAATAAAAAGATTAAATAAGATTGGTCCCAAAACCGATCCCTGAGGAACTCCGCTAGTGACCTCCTTCCAGCCTGACAGTTCACCTTTCAGTATGACCCGCTGTAGTCTCCCCTTTAACCAGTTCCTTATCCACCTTTCAATTTTCATATTGATCCCCATCTTTTCCAATTTAGCTAATAATTCCCCATGTGGAACCGTATCAAATGCCGTACTGAAATCAAGGTAAATTAGATCCACTGCATTTCCTTTGTCTAAAAAATCTGTTACCTTCTCAAAGAAGGAGGTCAGGTTGGTTTGGCACAATCTACCTTTTGTAAAACCACGTTGAATTTTGTCTCAGTTACCTTTGACCTCAATGTCCGTAACTACTTTCTCCTTCAATTTTTTTCCCAAGACCTTGCATACTACAGATGTCAAACTAACAGGCCTGTAGTTACCTGGATCACTTTTTTTTCCCTTTCTTAAAAATAGGAACTATGTTAGCAATTCTCCAGTCATACGGTACAACCCCTGAGTTTACAGATTCATTAAAAATTCTTGCTAATGGGCTTGCAATTTCATGTGCCAATTCCTTTAATATTCTTGGATGAAGATTATCTCCTCCCCCCGATTTAGTCCCATTAAGGTGTTCGAGTTTGGCTTCTAACTCGGATGTGGTAATATCTACCTCCATATCCTCATTCCCATTTGTCATCCTGCCATTATCCCTAAGCTCCTCATTAGCCTCACTAAAGACTGAGGCAAAGTATTTTTTTAGATATTGGGCCATGCCTAAATTATCTGTAACCTCCACTCCATCCTCAGTGTTTAGCAGTCCCACTTCTTCTTTCTTTGTTTTCTTCTTATTTATATGGCTATAGAACCTTTTACTATTGGTTTTAATTCCCTTTGCAAGGTCCAACTCTACATGGCTTTTGGCCTTTCTCACTTTATCCCTATATGTTCTGACCTCAATAAGGTAGCTTTCCTTGCTGATCCCTCCCATCTTCCACTCCTTGTAGGCTTTCTGCTTTTCTTAATCACCTCTCCGAGATGCTTCCTCATCCAGCTTGGTCTACAACTCCTGCCTATGAATTTTTTCCCCTTTCTTGGGATGAAGGCTTCTGATAGTTTCTGCAACCTTGACTTGAAGTAATTCCAGGCCTCCTCTGCTCTTAGATACACAAGTTCCTCAGTCCAATCCACTTCCCTAACTAATTTCCTTAATTTTTTTTAAAGTTAGCCCTTTTGAAGTCAAAAACCCTAGTCACGGATCTATTTTTGTTTATCCTTCCATCTAGTTTGAACTGAATTAGCTCATGATCACTTGAACCAAGGTTGTCCCCTACAACCATTTCTTCTATGAGGTCCTCACTACTCACCAAAACCAAATCTAAAATGGCATCCCCTCTTGTTGGTTCAGCAATTACTTGGTGAAGAAATCCATCAGCTATCGCATCCAGGAAAATCTGAGCCCTATTATTATTACTAGCACTTGTCTTCCACTCTATATCTGGGAAGTTAAAGTCTCCCATGATCACACAATTCTCATTAGTGTTTACTTCATTAAAAACATTAAAGAGGTCTCTATCCATATCCAGATCAGATCCCGGCGGTCTGTGGCACACCCCAAGCACTATCCCAAGGGAGGCTCTAGTAGCTTTCTTCCCCAATGTGATTTTTGCCCAGACAGACTCTGTCTTATCCATTCCATCCCTTCTTATTTCTTTACAGTCTATCTCATCACTGATATACAATGCTACTCCACCACCTTTGCCTTTATTTCTATCTTTCCTAAACAGCACATACCCTTCAATACCTGTACTCCAGTCATGACTACTATTCCACCATGTTTCTGTTATCCCTATAATATCTGGTTCCACTTCCTGCACCAGTAGCTCTAGTTCCTCCATTTTGTTACCTAGGCACCTTCCATTAGTGTACAAACATCTTAATTTTTGCTATTTGGATTCTCTCACATTCTTTACCCGATTAGGCACATACATTCCTCCCCCAGTATCACCTATTAGACTGGTATCTACACTACCCTTCCTCCTTATGTCCATTCTCTTACCCACGGCTGTATCCTTTCTTACTTCATTTTCTTCCCTCTCAATGTTAAAATCCGGCATGGAGATTACCTGGACATCTCCCAACCATCTCCCCCCAATTCCTAGTTTAAAGCTCTCTTAATCAGTTGTGCCAGCCTCCATCCTAGAAGTCTATTTCCCTCCTTACTCAGGTGAAGTCCATCCCAAGAGAACAGTCCTCTGTCCATGAATGCTTCCCAGTGGCCATACATTCCAAAACCCTCCTTATAGCACCACTGCCTGAGCCATCTGTTGATTGCCATAATCTTGTCACACCTTTGTTGCCCTTCTCTAGGAACAGGCAGAATCCCACTGAAGATCACCTGAGCCTCGATTTCCTTAAGCGACTTCCCCAGCCTGGCATAGTCTCCCTTGATACGTTCCAGTGAGAATCTAGCCGTAACATTTGTTCCCACATGAAGGACAATCAGTGGATTCTTTCCCGCTCCCGTTAGGATCCTTTTCAGCCTCAGGTCCACATCCTGTATCTTAGCACCCGGCAGACAGCACCCCCTTCTCTTCTCTGGATCAGCTCTGGTTACAGGCCTGTCTATTCTTCTCAGTAAGGAGTCCCCAATCACGTAGACCTGCCTTTTCCTGGTGATGGTGCGATTCTCCGGTCTATCCCCGTTCCCTCTGGCTGCAAGTCCTCTCGATTCCTATTGTCCTTTGCAATCCTCCGCAACCCATCCCGTATCCTCCTGGCGCTCATATTTGGTGTTGTTATCTCCATTGACTCTCTCGGTTTTCCTATAGGACTAGCTGCTCTTCTCTTCTTCCTTGCCCTCTCACCTTCAGTGACCACCTGCTGTGCCCCTTCTTCATTTTCCAACTCCGCAAACCTGTTCCTGAGCTCTATTTCTCCTTCACTAGCCCATCTTTTCTTCTGCCTGGTTCTCTTAGTGTCATGCTTCCACTGTCCACTTTCCTCACCCAGCAGTCTCCCCTCAGAGTTCTTTGGTCCTGCTTCCATCTGCAAGTCTGAGCTTTTCCCTTCAGCCTCCTCATGTCTTTGCTCCATCATCCACTCAAATCTCCTTCTAAACTCAACCAGAGTTTCCACCTGCATCTCCAATCCTTTTCTTCCATCAGCTCTATCAGGCAGCACTTCATGCAGATGAAACTCTTTTCAAGTACCCCCTCCAGGATCACGTACATGCCGCAGCTTCCACATATAGTCATCTTCATTGTGTCTTCCACTGCTTGGGTCACTACCACTGCTGCCTCTATATCTGTCATAGCCTTCTCACCTAAGTCCTCTTAGTCTGGGAAACACAAACCAAACCACCACCATCAACAGCAACACAAACCCCCAATGAGCACCAAAACACTGCTAGACCACCACACACTCCTTTCACTAGCCTGGCTCTCTTAGTCTTCCCCTCAAACTGTTTACAGCTCTGTTTGCTTGCTCCTGTGCCGCTGCAGCTGTCTACATGCACTGCCTGACTGGCCCCCTAGTCAGAGCAGCCCCGCCCCCTAATCAGGGCTCAGCTTCTCTCCCAGCACACTGCCCCTACCAGCCTCTACAATTACAAATACAAATAGAAATATCTACAAATACCTTCTCATATTGACCATCAGTGGGAGCCGGGAACCTAATTCCATTAGACCTCTTTGAAACTCCAGGCCAGGAGCTATAATTCCGACCTAATCTAAAAGAGAGGATACATTTGCACACGTCTCTGATCCTAATTATCAAGGATTCTTTAATTTCCACGTCTTTTGGTCTCTGGACAAATATTCTTCTCTCACACAACATGAGCCAAAACCCACTAAAGACACTGGAAATATTTCCCTTCACCACACTTGATTTAAGATCAGTCCCTAGAAATTAATGGCTAGCTAAGTGACATCATTGACATGATGTCCTTATTTCTCCAGGGATATGAAAGTACAATCAGGGTCCAACCACCATGTTTTAGGCACTGCACAAACACTCAGTAAGGAGAAAGGTGACTCCTTCTATCGGAGACTCCATGAAATTAATTCAGATCACAAAGGGAAGGAGTTTGTCTCTCTTATAAGGAGGGGAATATGCAAATGGAGGTGATGGGTTCCTGTTTAAATCTGCCCCTCTCTCTGCCTAGGGTGCATCCGGAGAGACAATCCGCAGCCCCCTGGGTCTGTGCATTTACCAGCCGACTCTCCCCTCCAACACCAGGGAAAATGAGACTTTGGGTCTATGTAGTTCTCATTGTGGCAGCTCTGCAAGGTACTTTGTAAACTAAACAGACTGGAGATGCGGACGAATATTTTGTATTTACTATTTTGATACTAATGTTTGTATCGTGTCTTTATTCCCAGGTGCCTGGTCCCAGATCAACCTGGTGGAGTCTGGAGGGGGTGTGAAAAAGCCCGGAGACTCTCTCCGCCTCTCCTGCAAAGCCTCCGGGTTCACCTTCAGCGACTACGGGATGAACTGGGTCCGCTGGGCTTCAGGAAAGGGACTAGAATGGGTCGCTTATATAAGCAGGAGTGGGAGTGATATATACTACCTTGATTCAGTGAAAGGCCGGTTCACCATCTCCAGGGATAATTCCAAGAGTGAGCTGTATCTGCAAATGACCGGCCTGAAACCCGAGGACACCGCCCGCTATTACTGTGCGAGAGACACAGTGACACAGAAACCTATTGATGCTCCTGCAAAAACCCAGGCTGCAGAATCCGCACACACCACGTGGGGGCAGCAGCGACATAAACAACAGGGCTTTGGGTACAGAAATGGGACTCAAGGTGAGTAAATACAAACCTACCACAAGGGTTTAACCCTTTCATTCCCTAGCAATGTCACCAGTTTCTACACAAAGTCCCCCTGATCTTGTGGTGCAGACATCGCTCTCGCAGAGCTAAGAGGTGATTTACCCCTGTCAAGAACGGAGCATCCCCAGGTTTCTTCTTGGACAGAATCTCCTGATTCTTAACTTGTCCTTATTCGCAGATGCCCGGTCACAGGTGCTATTTACAGAGGGGATGTGAAAAAGCCTGGAGACTCTCTCCAACTGCCCTGCAAAACCCCGGGTTCACCTTCAGCAGCTACTGGTTGGACTGGGTCCCTCAGGCTTCCGGACAGAGATTCAAATGAGGCTCCGCCCTAGACAACTGTGGAAGCGGCACATATTATCTGATTCAGAGAAAGGGCAATTTACCATTTCCAAGGACAACTACAGAGACTTCCTGTATTTACACATCGGCATCTTCAGCTGCGCGGACACCACCGGGGATTGCTTTGAGAAACTCACTGTAATGAAAGTTCAAACAAAACCCTTCCCTCTGAGTGGGCGTTTTCCTTTTGGGGTGCCCAAGCTCTGCAAAATGTAGGGAGATTAAATGTGAGGACACATAGGAAACTGGGCACCTTATTTTCTCTCCTTTAGTAATGCCCCCCACCCCCACTATCGCATCCATCGTTCTCACCACTGAATAGGATGGTCTGAGTAGAATATTTAATCATTTGAACACAGCGGTATCTTTCTTCCTGTCACCAGGCTGGCGAGAATCTGCAGCTGCCTCTCTAACTCTGCAGGATTTATTCCCGGCTGATCTTGCAGTTCCAAACTTTACTAGCTTGCCACACGACTGGCATTGTGCATAATCTTGCAATTAATCTCACATTTCGGGTTTCTGGTGAAGAACCACACACACGCTCCTCTCAACAATGGGAGTTTGCTGCCCTAGACTTAGGGAGATGTAAATATAACCCCACTAACATTTGTAGACATAGAATGACAAAAAACAGAGAGTTAGGGTTATGGTTAGGGTTATGGATAAGGGTATGATTTGGGTAAAGGTTCACTTTAGGGTTGGGATTAGTGCTGTAATTAGGTTTAGGGTTAAGGGAAGGGTTCCATACATTTATTGCTATCAAACAACCCACAGGGGATTGTGACTCTGTACCTGCAAGGTGCTGAATGGGCTAAATAGCCTTTGATTTCAGCATGAGAGCTAAATATTTCAAGCATGTCCAGTCAGGCACTCAGACTCTTGTATGATTGGACCTTTTCTATAGGGGCCTGCTCCTTTAAATCCCCTCACCCACATAACTACCCTCATTTTGACTGCAAGAAGCCCACTCATCATTGAATTACCTTTAGAAACATGGGACTTTCAGCATTGCCAGTCCCAGCATCCCCCCTGGGGCTGCATCTAGCTCAAAAAATATAATCAGTATCACACCGCACTGTGCTGCAGAGTCACACAAGAAGGCGCTGTCTGAATACAACTTTCTGAGACCTAGCAGAAGAATTTCAAAATGACTGAAGGAAGGAACATCTCTTATAAGGAGGGTGTCAAGGCTGGATCCCCACTTTGAACTTTAGGGTTCAAATGTAGGGGCCTGCATAAAAACTTCTAAGCTTATCTACCAGCTTAGCTTTGGTCCGCTGCCACC